CTGAGAAGGCCAAGGTGTTCGGGGCGTCCGACTTCGTGAACCCCAAGGATCACAGTAAACCCATCAGCCAAGTTCTGTCTGAGATGACTGACGGGGGAGTGGACTTCTCCCTGGAATGTGTCGGGAATGTGGGAGTCATGGTGAGACGATAACTCATTACATTAAAGTTTCTTTCAGAAAAACAAGTTTGACCTTATATTTTTCCCGATCTAGCGCAGTGCCTTGGAGTCTTGTGTGAAAGGTTGGGGTGTCAGTGTGATTGTTGGCTTGAATGACATGGAGGACATTTCTGCCCGACCCCTTATGCTCATTGCTGGACGCACATGGAAGGGCTCTACATTTGGAGGTGAGACAAATATGACATCACTAATGGTTCATTAATCTTTGCAAACTAAATATCTGTTCTGAAATTACCAAGCTATGTGTATCATAGATACAACCTTCTTATTTTAGATTGTGTGTGCATTTTGTGGCACAGGCTTTAAGGCTAAGGATGGCGTGGCAAAGATGGTTGAAGCCTACATGGACAAGAAGTTGAAGGTGGATGAGTTCATCACCCACAACATGACTTTGGATCAGGTCAATGATGCCATTGAACTGATGAAGCATGGCAAATGGTAGGTTTACACTCCAATACCTCCTCCACCATTTGTAACCCAAAAACCACACAGGAAACCTCATGTGTTTCTCTTTTGCTCCACAGCATCCGGACGGTCCTCAACGTCTCTCCAAAATGAGACCACTTTGTTGCTTTTAATGACCCCCAAAGTAATAAAGAAACCCACCGTTTTACTTTTCAAAATCTCTGCATAATACTCTTACAAATAATATAATACACCTCATAGATTTTAGCCTGACCTTGAACACTCAGTAATGTTCAGGTGAATACAAGAAGATTGTGTAAATCATGAAGTGTTAATTAATAAAAACAATGTTCTAAACAGATGGAGTCTGTGGTTTGTGAAAACGTTTGTGTTCTACCCTCTATTACATTGTGAGTGTAATAGAGTGTTGTTGTCAGAGTAATTACATTTTTTCATCATACATACACTTACCCCGTGTCCTCCTTTGAGGAAAAAGCTGAATCCAAATAGGAGAATTATACGTAAAAAAATTAACTCATTCAATTGTACGTCCGTCAGTTTTGCATTCATCTCACGGAATGTTGTTGAGTATCTGTCTGCATAAAGTGAGACCTTAAATGTATACTGTACAGCCAATTAAATCTTCCAAAAAGCAGTGTTAATGATTATTTCTTCGACATCCTATACTATGACTTTTTTTAATGATTTTTTCTAAATAATATTATAAATCTGTCTTCTTCATACTAGACTTTGATTTGTTGTTTTTATTTTTGACATACTTAATTTTTTTGGCTCAGTCTTCTCTGTGTTTGCTTGTGATGTCCTTTGTGAGAGGTAATCCAAGGCCCAGTCTCTAATGGCGAGTTCACAATGGATGCGATGCAAAGACTGCCGATCGATCAGGCTAGGCTAACATGTAGCTGCTCCGTCCACACTCACTTAAGTCCTGAATGAAGAAATGACTGTATTCGCCATGCCGTAGACCATGGGTCGGCAACAGGCGGCCCGCCAGCAATAATATTTGGCCCGTAATTTTGAGAATAACATTTTTTTTTTATTAATTGAGATTGTCCGACAGTCGCACATATAGGCTATAATGTCCGAATAGAGAATCTACCTACACCTGAAGAATGCTTATTGTACTTATATCGATGTTGAGAATGAATGACACACAGCACAGGCACAATCAGGCAGCGGGGTGCACTGACGCTGATAGACGATCAATAGGTGGGCAGCGCGTGGTGCTGAAATAGCCAACATTCGGTGTGTGGTTTGAAAAAAATAACACCAGCTCACTAAATAATTCGAACGTAATAACAAAAAAATTAACAAAGTTCAGTCAAAACATTGACAACAAAATTGAAGAAGCCGCTTGATCATGGAGGGCGAGGAGTGGTGGTGCATATGCTCCTGAAACGACAGAGCAAACACGCTACATTAGGGATAATAATTACAATGAGCCATTCATTCAAAATATAAAAAATATAATTAGGCTATTAAATACAATTACGACAGGCTTGGTACTCACTTAATGTAAAAACTGACATCTCCCATCGGTCGCTATATTTTGGATATCTGGTGATATGGACGTCACTTTAATCCGCAGGCAGTTCTCAAGGTTTTTATGCGTCAATCAATTAGTCTCGTGCGTCTTTATCGCATTCATTGAAGAAAAGGATGACTCCCATGTATAGGTGGAAGGGAACATTGTGAGCACATAAAATTTGAGTCTCTTGATCGTGCTATACTCCTCTGAGCTTCCCACCCAAAAAGAAATTGAAAATCAATTAGCTCCATTTCTAATGCAGCCTCGTCTAAGGAGGGGATCATTTGTTTCGCCTGGGAGGTGAAGTCTCCACTTGGTCGGACT